GCTTCGCAATGGTAAGCATGTCCAAAAGCATTTGCATTATGCTTTGACTATCATTGCGCTGCTTCGGTTCATCCCGACGCTGCCTTTGTTCAGCTGGTTGTGGAAAGCTTTTTTGGCCTCCTTGCGGCGCATGGATGAAACGACTTTAGCCGACTGGTTGCAAACGTACGAGCGCCCCTTGCCTTCGATTTTTTCCGAACAAGCGACTGGTTTGCCAAGAATGTTTCTTATGTTAGCTTTTGGGTTGGCTTCGATGGCATCATCCCCGGCTCTGGCAGTGGCAGTGAGCCTGCAGAAGCTTTACATGGCGCGTGGCAGACGGAACTGGCTTCTCTCGGCGGCCGTGGGGACATCAACCATTGTTTGCACGCCTTACAAAACCTGTATACGAAGCATTGGCAGGACTGGTATGCTTGGGCAGAAGCTGCACCTTTGTGCTTCCAGCCAGCCGGACAAGACCCACAGTTAGTGAATGGCACAGCTTTGGCGCGAGCTGGGCGCACCACGGCTGCCAACTTCTTGAAATTGCCGCCGAACTCGTGCTACCTCGTGCAACAATGCTCAGATCATTCCTGGGTTGCTTGTGCAGCCACTGCAGCAACTTCGCCATTGAATCGGAGTGTGGCGCAAAGCGTCTTGCGGCTGCTGATGCAACCAACATTGCTGAGCGCGCGCAGCTTGCCCGACTTGTTTGACAGTTCTACAAATCTATCACTGCAATCCTTCCGTGTGCACTTTGATGATGTGGTGTACGTGCGTGTGCGGCCGACACGTTTGCTTTGTTCTTGCGCTGCCGCCGCTATGCACAGCCAGTGCGAACATTCCACCTTCCTTCGCAGCTTGACCTTGCCGAATTTCCCTGCGCCGCCGCTGCTTCTCACTGAAGTTCCAGAGCCCCGCAAGCGCACAGGTCGTCGCAAAGTCTCTGATGCCCCACCACGCAAGCGACGCCGACGTCAAACTTGAGGATAGTCAGTTCGCTTTCTGTCATCTCGGTGTTTCGCGCCGCTTTGCCACATGCGCATGCCACCAGCTACAAAGTGTTGCCGCCCTGCTGCCACTGGAAAAAGACCGTCTTTCTCGAGCTCTGCGAGTGGCCAGAGTACTGCGTGTCTTTGTGTCAGCATGCGCGAGCTTTAATGTGATTAGTATTTTGCATTGTGGCTGTTTTGCTTTGCAAAGGCTCGACTAGCATGTGTGAACTCTTCCTCCTCTTTTGTGGTTCATATGCTTGCGCAATGTCTTGCAATATGTTCTGGGCCACTTGGTCGTCGAACCGATCGTTGTGTCAGGCACAGTGCGGCCGTCAGTGGGTTCAAGCAGGCTGGGCTGTCGCGGAAAGACATGTCACATAAGTTGTCACGTCCTTTCGCAAACAAATCCCAAAAGCTAACCTCTACGATCATGTGCTTGTTCACCTTTCAATCCATCACCTGCTTTTTGACCATTGCAGTGCATTCTTGGTGTTCTCACCCACGATTGCTGCTGCTGCTGCTGCTTCTGCGATCGCCGCACATGCTGCTCCTGGTGCTGCAGCAGGTGCTGCTGCCAACCGGTGCAAAAAACACTGTTTACCGGCGCAAAAAACACCAACAGGTGCAAAAAACACCGTTTACCGGCGCAAAAAACACCGGTGCTGGCGCAAAAAACACCAGCGAACATGCGCAAAAAACACCGTTTCCCAACCGGCGCAGAAAACACCGTCAACCTCCAACAGGTGCAAAAAACACCGTTTACAGGCGCAATAAACACGGAGCCCCCTTTAACTTATATACTGATACTTACTATATCGTAATTTGTTATTATTGATGCAAGTTCTCATCCTTTCTTTTCGACTGTGCCACATGATTCTGCTGCATACTTCATGCTCGCGTGGACCTTATGTGGACCCAGAAACCGTCGAGAGCAGCGCAGGAGTTGGGTGCCTTAGAGCAGTTCAACCCCACCAAGGTGGCTGAACATCAAGTGGGCTGGAGATGGGAGTAGTACCAGGGTCCAAGGTCATTTTGCACGGCTGCAAGAGGGATCCCCAAACATGAACTTTGCAAAAGGAAGAGAGGAATGAATCCAAGGAAGTCTCTGTCGGACTCCACCATGTTGAGCTCAACGTTCTTCGTTTTGTTGCTAGGCCACTACAATATAGCTATTCACACGCCCCAGAGACCATCCTAGCTGCTCTATGTTCATTTAACAATTTAACATGCACGGTTTTCATATGTTTTCATAGGAACCTCAGGGGCAGTCTAAGCGGTGCAAAGTAGGGAACGAGACGTGGAGCGTGCTCCAATGCCCCTGAAACACGGAGGTGACTTATGATGGGGAGGGCGCAGCCACTCGAGCAGGTAGCATTTTGTGTACCAGTGAGCCAAAGTGAATGCCCTACAACTCTTGGACATGCTTGAGCTCATATCCAAATCATCACACTATGACCGCTTCACGCGTTGTTTTTTTTGGTCACCGTCGTGGTCGCTGTGCTGCGGATTTCTTTCTTACGGCTTCGCGGCAGGTCTTCATCGATGTGTGCTACTGGCTTGGCCTAGCCCACAGCCGTCGCAGGTGCTCGCGGAGGCTACAGGCCATGGTTGCCATGGGGGGAAAGGATGGGGAAGAGAAGCGGATGGGGGAGAGAATGCAACCCATAATACTGCCAATAGAAGCTGGTTTCCAAATCGGCGTGCAATAGTAGAATGTTTGCCTTTAGCGCAGCGTTCAGAGCCTCTTTTTCCCTTTCTTTTCCTTCGAGAAGGGTCGCAGGTTGGAAAGACGAAGACTGAAACCATGGGCCAACGGGGCCAAAGACCAGATTTTTGTAAACTCTCTTGCAGGTCCATTGATTCGGATGGGTTGCTCTTTCACATCGCCTAGGGACGCACAACGAAGGCGAACCACGCGCCGGAAAGGGGTGGTTTCGCCAGGATTTACGGCGTCTTCAATTGCTGGGCCTACGGGAGGAGATGGGCTTTGGCTACGACACTTGGGTGATTTGCAAGATTTTGCAAGCCAGTACTCGTACCATCTCGTAAGATCAGCTTTCGACCGGATGAATGATGGTCCACCCAAACCATTTGGTTTGTGGGGAACCAGGGTTTGATGAGACGTGGTAGTCGGGCATATTCGGTGTGAAAAACACCGACAGGGTCCATTGGGGAATCCTCCAGGGTTTGGGGAATCCTCAGATGCAGCTGGGGACAAATTTTAGTGGCCCCGATCGATCCTGTCGAGGAAGTGGCTGGCATAGTGCCCTTCCGATACAAGGTCCTGGTGAAGGACGATCTCTGAAACTTGTCAAATCTTCGAAACAAAAGGGATCGGTGACGGTGAGGGAAAAGCGCAAAGCAGAAGCTACAGCGCCTTTTTGGAGACATGTAGGCCAATAGCCAATATTTAGTTGTTGTAGTTGTTTTCTTTGATATTCATCCAAGCGAAATCCAAGACTGCCCAAATGTGATGCTGGCCTGATGAGGACATGTTGAGAATCCATCAGAACACTACAGATTTTTCTGTTCCCAGACCATCCATGGGACTTGAAGAATTACCCACATGTATGGGGCATGTTCGGATGGATGTTTCTGTAGTTGGATTTCATGGTCTTTGCCAAAGTACATTTCTTCGAGCTCCTGCCGGGCCCGAGCTCATGCACGTGGGCCAAGGAGGCTCTGGTGCTGGGGCCGTTCACAACTTGAAGATGGAGCCATCAAGACATGGTGAAGAGTATGGGAACCTGGTTGATATTCAAGTAGAGCACACCAGCCACAAAGTCGTGGAATTGGTCGCCCAGTGAGTTGATATATATATATATACATATGATATTATATCATCTATATGTCCTAAAACAATACTCGGTGTAATCCAGGAATTCCATGCGGTGTCAGTCCCTAGCAGCTAGCATCAATGAACATTGGCTAGCTGGGTGAAAACCATCAACCACCAACCCAAAACGGTTCTGCCGTTGAAGAAACATGCATTACTGTACAAGATATACAGTGAACCCCGCAAATGGTATCAGATCTCATGCCGGGTGTTTTCTGTGAAACGTGGCAACCATCCTGGGTTGTATTATCCCAAAATCTGCTCATGATGCAAGACATGCCAAAGTCCTCAGCCAGAACTCTTCACCTTTTGCTTGGTGGTCAATTCACCCCCAAAAAACACATTAAACAACGCTTGGCCTATTTGGGCCGTATCAGTGAAGCTTAGTGGACATATCAGCAGATCCAAAAGTACGGAGAAACATGGATTTCAAACATTATTCTCCCCAAAACGACATGAATTTGACATCAACAAGATCTCATCAACAAAGAAAGAAAGGACATGAAAAGATGCTGTCCTTTATGCCTTTATGTAGACATCCAGAGATCCCCCCAGATCCGCTGGCCTTTGCAACGGTACTTCACAGGTTCAGCTTCACAGGTTCCAGTGGCGTGTCCAAAATGCCACTGCCATGGGTCCCGTGACCTGTGGCTCCCGGACCGGGCCGTGTGCCACGAAGTGTGGCGAGCGGAACCAGCGGACGCATCGGGAAAAATGGGCGATCGTGAAGACGTGTGAAACCTGCCCACTTGAAGACTGGTGAAATGGTAAAACGGGCCACAAGCACCCTTGGAACAGTAGCCCACTAGCTTGGTGAAGCACTCGCGTGATCTCTATAGTGCTTGCTTGGCAGCGGAGTGATTCGGAGTGAAGATGGTATAGTATATTTGAGAAGGGGTGGATACCATGGGATGCCCTGATTCGACAGAACCTCGCGTGTTGCAACTGGATTCTATACGTCCATCTATGTCTCAAAATGTTATATCTTTGATGTACTCTCCCTCAGACCAGAAGATCCCCCTTGTGTTGAAATATGGTCTTCCATGGGCCTACGTTCCACTTCGGTGATGGTTTCAGTGAGTGTACCCTCCGAAAACTGCGGAGCTTCATTCCAGGCCTCCCACAAGAAGGTTGGTGAGTCTATCTATTTTTGTTCATCCCCTTATGTGATCACATTTGCGCCCGGTGAGGCACAAGATCCCATTGCTGCGGAGCTGGCCACAGATCTGTATATGGCCAGCAGACTCAGCACTTCGGGGGTGTTGGGTGTAATATGGATGTTGGATGATAGGTGCAGCTTGATTTCACATGTGCTGTGCAGATGTTGGTCGTCCCATCGTTGAAAGCAACTTGTTCAGTAAGCATCGAGATGAAGGGTGGTTACTCCTTTGTTCATTGATTAAGTATATACTGTATGGTCCGGTGCCAATTATATGCATACAACATTCTATATATAAATGTCCTTGCCTCCCCCGAGACCTTCGAACCCTACCCTGACCTCCCTTGCCCGGCCCAGTCGCACTTCACGCTGCAAAACACCATGGTGAGCATGTCTGCCCTGGCACCGGCCTCAGTTGCGAACGGTGGCCTCCAAACCAAAGTAGAGCTGTTCCACGGAAAAATCTATACAAAAGACCAACTGAAGGGTGGATTAATTACAGACCCCTCCAAAAACCATGCATGGTGTTGGAAATTGTTGAATGTCGGTGTTCTCAAAACCGACTTGCACTTCTTGACACTTCTTCCCATGATGAGTTAGATTGCTTAGATGCTACGCCCAGCGGCCATTCTCCATGCAACATACATACAACGGCGGCTCTCAAGCGGACCACCAGCCACCAATCCCAGGGTCCCAGACCAAAAAGAAACTGAATATATTGCACCATTCATTGGTTTTTGTGTGGTTTGATTATTAACAGGTCCACATGTGTGTATTGATATGTGTGTGTACTGTATGCTTTTCCCTCCAGTCCCATGGATTGTTGGATCATTTTTGCCACGGCGAAGTTCGGATAGGACCCGATGGCTGGAGAGGTTAGTTCGGTTTTGGAATCGGATGGATTTTGAACGGATGGTGGAGGAGTTGTGCCATGATCCGAGGTATTTAGCATGTGTCGGCCCCTCATGTGGTGTAGGAGATGGTCCATTGAATTGTTCCACCAGCACTGGCGCACACACCGTGTGGGTGTGAGTTCATGGATGTTGATGGGGAGACACGTTGGAGAGGTTTAACAATCCGAATCGCGGGGGTAATTAATCCACGGTTTGCATTGGGGATGTGACAACTGTGCATCCTTCTGCTTGATCCTGGTGATTCTGTCGCAGTATGTATTGAAGTTGTGGGACTGTTAAAGCAGGAAACCGACGACTGTGGAGAGTCTGAGGGCAAGCAAATAAATAAGTTGTTGGAAAGGGTTCATTTGTTGAGATCCAGCTTTGCTGTTTTCATCGACCCATCGACCCTTGTTTTTTGATTGGGTGCATAAACTTCGACCCTGAAGACCCAATAAAACGGTACTTTAACTGGCAATGCTTGGGTTTTGTCGCTTTGACCCAGTGCAGATTCTGAAAAAGCCATGAACACCTACCAGCACAATTGACCCAAGAGCCTTCGAGCTTCTGCATGACTTTTGAGGATTTGCTCAACATGGCCAACGTGCTCTTCAGGCAGATGGTCTCTTTGGTCTGGGAACGACTTTCCACCCAGGGCCGCTGTTGAATTATGAATTTGGGATGTCAATTGTTTGGCCATGGATGTGCTTTTTATTACGTCCCCATGCCGTCCCGCTCCCATTTTTTTTGGGGAGTGGAGGCTCCGGGGACCAACCCTTCCGTCGGGAGTGCGGACCTGTCTCCGGGTCAGACATCCCATCGTCGTTTCGCTGCGAAGCGGCGCACGCGGAGCGGCTGAACCGGTCCGGTGGTGTTTCGGACTGGTCCTCACTCTCTGAGGATCCGCCTCACTCAGGATCTGCCACATCGCTTGGCAGCGATGGTGCAGACCGTTTTCGACCGTTTTCTCCGGCGATTTCGCGGTGATTCGCAGGCACAAGAAGGACATGTACCCCAACGACACGCAGGAGCTGTTCCTCACAGGTCGGCGTAGCGGGCCCATCCGATCATCAAAGGTCTTCCGACCCTTCCTGAAATCATCCATGAAAATGGAACAATAAGGGCATTCGGAAAAAGAGCTGCTCATCCAGGTTGAAGTCATCTGCTCACCGCTTTTTTTGCTTGTTACGTTTTTTCACATACTTGGTCATTCACAAGATCTTTTGCGCATGATTCATGTGGTCGACTTCCAAGTTTGGACCAAGTTCATCGTCAAGGCAATTCGTTGAAGATTGCCTGACCAGCATCAATGTTAATAAATTATTGTAGACATGGATCCTTTTAGACAACGTTCAATGGTCTCTAGTATCTCTTGATGTCTAGGTTCCTTCCATCGAAAAGGACTCTGAAATGTTATTGAGCGCTGTCTCAACTAACTTGGTTTCCTTGGCTTCGCGAGCCTCTCCGTGCCTTTCACAAGCCTGTTCCTGCCTTTGTGGGGGACGCTTGAGTGTGTTCCATTCCAGAAGTCCAATCCGATGAGCGTGAATTGCGTGAATGGGCGCCATTGTTCCTCAGGAACCTGGGAACCTTTTCAAGTAAGTCGAGTAGACGAGTAGACCATAGCCATAGACATTGCTACCCCAAAAGCCAGACGCATGAAAAATCATGCCCCCCACTGCGCTAGACCACTCCCCCCCAAAAACCCAACAACTATAACCTGGGTGAGTGAGAACAAGACCAAAAAGCATCGGCCGCGCACCAAGGGGACGACGCCCGACCTCCTCGCCGTTCGCTGCCGGCGGGCGGTTGAAGGACCAGCTCTCCGAGGTGTTGGACGACTTGATGCACAGGCGCCGCGCGGGCTGCGCGGCAGGTGATCTGCCACGCTTCGGTGGGATGAAGCCCACAGGGCTGTCTGCTTCCACTAGTGACCATTTGTGTTCAAGGAGCGGGGGGTTATGTAGGAGATGAGATACATATGGATCTCATCCCGGATTTTGCTTTGATGTCTTGTCTTTGTGTTTCCTCAAGCAGCTGACTCAAGCAGCTATGAGGTAGAATGTCTCATGTAGAGGGTTCAGAGCAGGGAGACCAGTAGAACCATAATACGGGCTCAATTTGTTTCATGTAACATCATGTAACTTTGTTCCAGTTCCATTGAGCATGCCGGGGCGGGTGCAAGAATTCATGTCGAAGACGCGACTGCTTTTGAACTCGTTGACTCCTGGCTCACCTTGTTTTTGATTGTTTTTGTATTTATTTGATTACATAGTTGATCTCATGATATAAAATTACGATATCTCCGAGGTAGGAAGATCTGAGCCGAATCCTTCCGACTCAGAGGATTCATCTCTGAATAGCTGGCCCCCCGGAGTCGTTCACCCAAAGTCGTTTGCTCCAGGCGTCCTTTGGAAAAGCCTCGGACCGAGCATGGACAGCTGGTCACCGAGGACGAGGGCCGGGGAGACGATCCTTCCAGGCACGGCACAAACAAAGGGTGCCGAACTTGGAGGATAGGGTCGGATAGGGGTGCCCAGCTACTCCACTCACTGGATGGGACTAAAAACCACCCCGTCTTGTGACCCCTGGTGAAGAATGAATAACATCAACAATACCCACTCGATGCCCCCGCACGAGTCCCCATGCCCGTTGGGGACTTGGGTCGATGAGCCAGATCAGTCGAACGTTCTTCGAGAACTTGGTGATACTGTGTGGGACCTGGGGTGGCTGGGCGAAGCGTGTTCCTGGCAAGTCATGATGCCATGTGTCGCTTGGGCCTAGTGTTTCACCATGGAACCTGCTGGGATCTGGGCACCAGAGTTATCTTGAGCTCGCTTCTAACTTCTAATCAAATCAGAACCACCTTGCCACGAATCAAATCAGAATTGGATTCATGTCTAAAACTTTTTAGAGCATGAAAGTAATTCTTCTAATGGGCTTCATTTCTAAGTGGACATCCTAATTGGACTCAGCTCAAGAAACTGCAATCCAGCCGCCGTCCCACACGGCGGCTGCGGTTTCGGGCGGACAGACTCAGGAGCTTTCGGAGTATCATCCGCATGGGCACTTGTGGCGGTGACCTTGGCATGGTAGTGGGGCCACATGGGCACTTTTGGCCTGTTTTTCAAGCGACTTGCTGTTGAATTCTGCTGGGTACTGTTAATCGGCTCGTGGTACTAATGCAATGTTGTTTTTCTTAGGCAAGCCAGCTGTTTGTTGTGATGTCGCCGGATGTCGCAGTTCACCACGTGTGACTTGTATTTATATATTATATATATATATATCCTGCAGAGCCCATGGTTCACGCAAGGGAGCAACTGGCCATCTGCTGAATTGGCTCGGGTCGATCCATCGTCACCCCAAGGGCCAAGGGGGTGACCGCACACCGATCCGCACTCCGATCCGCACTGAGGCTTGCGTCCCAGCACGGAGAGTGGCACAACTTCCGATTGAAAGCGAGGCCGGCCCCCAGAGAGAATGACAAAGCATGCAAAGCTCATGTAGCATTTGAACTGCAGTCGCATAGCGTTTGCCCCGCTGACATGAGGATACGCAACTGATAGACATGGGGCCAACTTCCCTGGAAAGAGGGTTTGTTGCTGAGTCAACATGTTGCCAAGATCATCCCAACCGAAAAGTGCGCCGCGGGTTCACCGCCCATCCGAGCGGGTTCACCACCCAAGACTGATGAGCCCTTACAAGTCGCCCTCTTAAGAAAGGGACGGCTCAGCGCTCTCCTCTATGGCCTCCAACTCCTGAGTCCGAAATTTGGCAAAGGGGTGCGATCCAAGGACTGTTGGTCACCGAGCCTGTTCTTCGTGGCTAGTGGGGCCACATGGGGCCACCATGTTTCACTAGAGTCACTAGAACGCGGTACATCAAGGTGTAAGATGCTCAGGACCCGAGTTCCTCACTTGGGGTGCATGTTCAAAGGGCATGTTGTGGGTCAAGTTGCTGGTGTCAACCGCTGTGATATCACCACCAGATAGTTGATGAATTGGGTTGCGACACTGGTCCAGAATAAGGACACCCCTCTTGGCATCCTAGAGGCCTTTTTACAGGGCTGTTGGACCACTCCATTCAGGGCATCCATTCCCTCCCTGTCAGGGTGGCCCCTGTCGATCGGATGCTTGCAGGTTTATGGAATATTTGCATGGTCCTGATGACCAGCCGATGCTTTGCCACCACTCGCAGGCCGGCAGTGGGAGAAACGAATTGGAAGCAGAATCACATGGCTTGGATCAGATCTGTGCAGCATCCGAACAGATCCATCCAGGGTTCGTCACTGTTTCCAATTGCATTCTCCTAAACTCTCAAATTCACGGAAAAAATGCGGACCCCCACCTACAAAACTCAGCTTGTTTGAGTGAGCTTTGGGTTGTGTGTTCTATATTTATCAGCCGGAGGGGAGTGTCCAGGCCATGGGAGAGAGGAGTCCCTCAAGTGAGCCGCAGTCTGAATCTGTTGACGCCTCGTCAGCCTTTTAGATTGAAAGGTCGGTGTGAGTGACTTTGCGATCTACTCAGGTCAGTAATATTATGTAATATTATTTGTTCATATAAACTCTGGTTTGCGACTGAAGTCCCACCACACTCATCACGGGACACAAAGAAGAGCCCCAAGCCTGGCCGTTCTTCGCCTGAAAGCTATGACTTCCAAGAAAACATGGGTCTGGGTTGAGGCATTCTGGTGCATTTTGGGTTCATTTCGGGTGCCCTGTTTGCATTTGGAAGATGAGAATCGGGCGAAGCAGCAAACACCTGTGGAAACCTGCCTTGAGAGGCGCCCATCCCCGGTCGCCTGGCGATGGACGGAAGGGAAGGGAGTGGGGTTCAATACTGCAGGATTCCGAAAATCAACAACTTTAGCTTTTAGGCATTTTATAAGATGTAGCAGCAAGAGCTTGGGGAAAGACGAACAATGCCCCTTCCAGCCGATGCGCACTGTTGGTCCTGATGCTCCATCATTGCGCTTCCGTTCGAGAGCCCATAACAGGCGAAAGCCATCCGAAACTCATAGCCAAGAAAAGCACACTTTGCATAGTGCTGTCATTGGATTCCTTGAATTTAATATAGAGCATCCACACGTTTTCACTTGGGAACATCATTCAGACGCGTTGTTGAATTTAGTATGCTAGTGCACTCAAAATCCATCCGATCCATCCCTTGCCATTTCTTTTCACCCAACCATCTATCCGTTCGACCGGCCGAGTGGCGAGGAGCACCAGAGATCCTTATCGAGGCAAGGAGAGGTGCACCTCGTGAAGAAGTACACCATTCCGGATGAGGACGGGCCCTTCATCCACAAGAACACCGGGCGAACACAGCTTCATAATGAATAAGGGTCCCACAGGCGGAGAAGGGGAGTGGTGAAGACCCTGCGGAGCTTGGCAGCTAAGAAGATCAAAGGGGCCAGTTGTGGACTGAAGAGGCTGTGTCCTTGAGGTGAGTTTGCAACATCGTCTTTGTTCGAACTGTACAGGCTGGGATGGTCCAGTGGGCTCTTGCTGTTTAATACTTTGTTTCAAGGGGGACAACCACACCCAGAGGATCATGAGGATCCCAGAGCAAAGGCACACCCAAGTAGGATGGCTTGGCCCACTTGTTTTGAGTTAGTGGAGAGCCTGTGACTGCAGTATGGCAGTTCGATTACAGTTTCGACTCTACGTTACTTCATGTTACTTCATAGGAGGCTTCCTCGATGTAATTGGTACAGTAGCCATGAACAAGAAATAGTATACGGGCAATGCCAGTTTTGCCTTTGAGTTCTTGTGCTCCTAAACATGTGCGATGGACGAGCTCGTTTCTGTTTGTGCCTTATCCATTGCCTTCAATTTTCCTGATGATCCACCGTGGGCTTCTCTAGAGTTTCCTTTGCTCTATGGGTTCAGAAGTTGGTAGGATGTTGAGAAATTGGGCATATTGGGCCACTTGTACTCCACACCTGTTTTCTCAAAGACCCCCCGTGTTGTTCTCCTGTTGATCCCTCTTCTCATGCTTTCGAGCAAGTCCAGCGCGCCTCAATGTGTTCGAAGTGCTCCCGAGGCCCCAACTGTGCCATTGCAGCCCATGCTATCCCATGGATAGCTCCATAGGTCCGTAAGTATCTCCCCTTCGAACCTGAATGACCTATTTTCCCTAAAACATGGGCCTTTTCCATCCTGTTTCCTATCAAAACAGGAGTCCAGAGAGGGTTCCAGGTCCATGAACTGCTTCGTTTCGTTCCTCTCCCGGCATCGACCGTTCGGTTCACCTCCGCAGGAGAAGTCGATGCTCGGCCCCTCAGACGTCCACGGTTCCGTTCGAACACCACATCAGTCGCTAGCGGTTCCACGTAATGTCAAGACCGGATTAATAACCCGCACATGGTAGGTCAACAGGGGAATGGTTCCAACGCAGGTCTGACGATGGGTTTCAAAGTAGATGGCACTGGCACCGCCAGTTTTTGGTTTACAGGGCTCCATAGAAACCACCCAACTTGGGATAACTTGGGCATTGTGCCATCTACTCTGAGACCACTGTAAAATACATGGGTTGGATGGTCCGACGACAGAAGACGACTGTCCTCAATGCGAAGAACAGAGGGTTAGAACATATGCCATTTCCATGTGAGTGACCATTGAGACCAAGTGAATTAGACCATGTTGGGGACCATGTTCTCTCTATGACTAGCTGTCTAATGAATTCGACTTCCATATCTTCCATGTGAGTGAGTCATAGACCAATCACTTCACCTCAACGAAATTCCTTTCGGCTTTGGTCTGCTTCCCGGGCGTGGGTGATCTAGGCCTGCCTACCCTGGACAAGTGGATCGGGATCGACGTGTTTTTTTGGGGGGGACACACTCCACACCAATCCAGGTGGAAGAAGGGTGAACCAAGAAGGGTTCCAGGGAGTCGGGACAGTCAGCTGAGAGATGTGAATGTGAGAGAATGCGATGAGAGGATGAAGAAGTATATATATATATTATATATTATATAATATTTTGAAGGTTTGCTTTACTTAACGAAGCATCAAAGATAGATGTGTTTTCCTCCCAGAAGCGTTGCTTGACATGGTGTAGAGGCTGTAGTGCAACCAGTGAGGTTTGAGTTCGCCCAAATTTGAGTCCACAAATACTGTAAATATTATGATTGTACAGCATATTAGAAGCCCACAGCCTTGATTTCCTCCCACCTACAACAGGTAAGATTAGGCAATATATAGGTATATGATATATATATATATATGATATATATAGCGCTGTAGAGTGTACTGTAGCTATTTTACTGCAGCATGGTTCCATAGAAACAACGAACCAATAGATATATACCAACAGCACCACTGCTGCCACCGGGTCTCAGGCTGCCGCTGATGACCCTGGCAGGCTTACCGGAGCCAGTGGAAGTGTCCGGAAGCTCAGGGCTTGTCTCATCAGTGGAGTCAGTGGACACATGTAGGTGTTGAATCAGGCAAGCGTGCAGGCGTGCTGAAACAGTCACATTTGTTTGAACCCCCCCCGCTACTCCCCAACCATGCTGTAGTCATTTATAGCTCTTAGATGCTCTTAGTGGAATCCTATGGATGTGCCCGATTCGGACCATAAAGCCATGGTAAGGGTCCTGTGACAGTGGGTACACTCACGAAAGGGACAAGGATACGATTTTGCTTCACTCCAGCCCATCAGGTACGAGCACTTGGAGGCTGGGCCAGTGAAATTTATTCATCCGAGATGCGACCCAGGAATGGAACTCGACGCGAAACAGAACATGGACTTCCCCGAAAAGCCGTTGGGAGATGTTTGAAAAGGCATTCTTCTGTTGTCGCTCTGGTCTTTTATATCAATACAGCTGCCAGTTTGGCTGCAACCGCAGGAGATCATCCAGGAATTGTCTGGCAACAAGCGAGCTCGCCTCTGAGAGTTGTCTGCCTTGGATGCAAGTTCTGATGTTCGGGGTTGTGTTCCCTTAGCATAATCTTGCTTAGGAAGAAGCAGGGGGTCAACTGAATGTAACCAATCGACGAGATGCCATTGACCCATGCGCCTCTCTTTTCATGACAGATGCAGTTACAGATAGTATGCCCAAAGCGTGCCTCTCTTGTGCATGAGTCTTTCTTTTTGTGTGTGTGTTTGCTGTACCCGCCATTGATCCTGAGGACCGTGCTTTTCCAGGTTCCAGTCCCACTTCACGGTATTTCAGGGGTCTCATGTAAGGACTCTATTTCTACAAAAGGCATGTCTAGGAAAGAAGGCATGAGAGTGCATCTGCCTGTAGGATTGCGACCGGCTGAGGAGAATGATGATGTGAAGTACCAAATCACAGGCAACCCGCATCAGGGCAAGAAACCGCTGTCGTGTTGGAAAGAAAATCACTTGAAAGGCCAAAGTAAGAAGGCATTTGACTTGAGGCACGTTGAGGCACCACGCAACCGCTACTTCAACACCTGACCAGAAAATCGTTCCACAGACACAAATGAAGTCCTCGAATGTACTCGAATCCAACCTGCCCAAAAGCATCTCCACGCTTCAGGCCAGAACTGGATAGACTTGAGGCCGGAAGTCTGGGGAGCTCACTTCAGCACTTCGATGCTTCAAAGCACGATGCACATGATGGCCCGGTGGTACCTTGAGTCAGGAACTAGGCAGTTTTTTTGCCTCAGCACCTGTCGGATCATATGTTTTAGGCTTTTAGGCTCTAGGCATTGGAACACATCGTTTTGTTGAGAACCCTAAGTTTTATAATATATAATAACCACACCGTAGATCATATGCCTTGCCTGTATTGTTTGAAGGGCACCTAGTCTTGTGTAGGTATCCGGGAGCTTTGGAAAACTCCACGATGACAAGTGAGTGGGCTGTAGAGGGCATCCCAGTGGTTGCATGGTTGATCATGGATGTGTCCTTCTCATGTTCTGCGGGATTTGTCGATATCAACAGCTTGTTGCTTTCTCAATGATCGCTTTCTCATTATGTTGGAGCTTGTGAAGGACTGGCTTCAGCAAGATTCAGAAGGCCCTGCAGCAGGACCTGAGTACGCAATGTCCCATGTCCCGAATCGGGGCTCCTTCAGATTAGCATTGCTCCTAAGTAACTGTCCGACAGCTGTCCACCCACTCTCCTTGTTTTTCATACGAGCATCTGGTCCGAGCACCTGGAACCTCCACACTATCCTTGGTCAGATGTTGATCGATCAGGAGAGACCTCGATAGGGTTGAAGATGTTTGACAGACCCGTTGAACATGTTTGTTCCACCTGCTCCATGCAGTGTTTGCACAAAAGAAGAGCTTCACTAAACCAGCAGTTTTGAGGACTCACACGGCCCGAGGAAGGTGTGTGAGGTCACCCCGGGCAGCTGAACGCTTTTCTTGGACCTGTTCTGGACACTTTTCCGCCAATTGTTGTGAGTCGGCAGGACATCAAGGATGGCCAGGAGCTCAGCGAGCTGGGTGTGGATCAAAGGTGTGGATGAATGAGATGTTTTTGCCCTACCCAGTGAGCGGACAACCGATAGTATAGTTTATATGTTGCATATAAATATGTATATTTGGAAAGTGAGGGGGTCAGTTGTTATTGTTCATCGGGATAAAGAGCTCAAAATCAGCCTCCCCTGCCACTATATGTGCCTGATCAGGGCTCCCATAGAGTTCGCTTTCAAGAAAACCTAGCCATCACATATTCAGGAGTTGTTTTTGCACTTCTTTGTGAATCCTTGTCGGTCCCCGGTCTCTTTCCCTTTCTACACTGATTTTGATTATATACTCAAGTCACCTGCTCAGTACTAGACCCATAATTATGGTCCCAAGAGTCCCAAGCTTTGATTTTCTCTCACAAACCTTAAGACACAAACACCTAGCCTGCCCAGGGAATGCTTCCAGCAAGATGCGTGGCCTGGTGATGGACTTGGAGGTTGGAGAATGCAGTTTGTCTTTTTTTAGGCGTTTCTTGAATGGACATGTGCCTGGAACCTGAATGACCTCTATCTTAGACCACCAGCCACCCTACAATATTTTTTTTTCCATGGGTCCTACCTTGTGAAATTATTTTGTAGGTGGGATGGGTGGTCCAAATAGTTTTCCAGGATTATAAAGTATTCTTAAAATTTGAATAGAACTAATTCTGGGACCCTAGTAGGTGGTGGTGTAGGATTAATTTCTTGATGAACACTCAACTAAGTAAGATTATACTCAGCTGAAATGACAAAGGACTTGTGAAAAGTGCCTCCAAATTTCTGCGGCTAAGTCATGAAGGTTAGCCTACCCCCCACAAGTGTGTATGTCATGAAACAAAGGCTTTGAAAAACATCAAAATCAGAGATGCCAGAGGTTGTCACCAAAGATCCTTTTTAAAAAAAACTGAGGACCAGGTCAACAAGGCCTATGTCATGAGTGTGTGCCAATGATATTGCAGAGTTTACATTTGTACATGACATAGGACTTGCCCTGGGAAAGTTGTATGTCTTTTAGACCCAAATAGCCTAAGTCATCTCACCTCAGTATTTATATTTTCCCATGTAGAGACTAATTATAAATTAGGAATTAGATTTGGTGGATGACGGACTCAAAATTAACCAGGATTAATTTTGATGGTGGTGATCCATCCTGCGTGAGCAGAGCCATGGCTATTAGGTTGGAGGCCATCGCTACTAATCAGGGCCCCCCCTGGTAGTCCAGAAGGCTATCCTGATTTGTTTCTTGTATTTGTTGTGTTTTTTTCCCAGTTAGGGTGTCGAGTGTGGGAACTTGGGGATATTTGGGGGTGGTTGAGTAGCTCCTGACACTTTGAAGGTTCAGGACGAACGGTAGCGACCGCTGCCTGTTCAGTGACACCGAGATACACCAAGGTGTTCAATAATCCCTTCCACCTATTAAAAAACACGCCCCCCCCTAATACGGAAACCTCGGTCGCATTTTTTCTAATAGGGGGTCCCTGAATTTGGGGGGTCCAAAATAGGGTCACCTGGAAAGAGTTTCAAAACCAAAAAGTAATCCAGGAACATTATATATATATATAAACTCATTTATTAAACTCCATGCGGTGTTGCATGACCTCGGTGGCAAGTGCGTTTGCGTGAGTCCGTGCCATTGGGGGAAGGAAAGCCTGCTGGTGTAAGCGCAGCGTGTCATGGTGGATAGACAGGGCGGACAGAGGTGGGCAGTTACGGTTGTTTTTGGAACCCAATAAGAAAAATACCTCCAAAATTGGCCTTGTTGGTAGTTTAGTAGCGGCTTGAAAGGCGGTAATTTAAAGCAAATATAAGCCGTATTTAGGGGGATCCGACATGACTTTTAAACTGGGGTCCGTTTTTTTTTATAGGTACTCGGGATTAATCTCTATACACCCGTTGGGTGTCAAACCAATAATTCATTACCTCGTTTCCGAAAAGAGGTCGCTCGCGGCTTTTGGGTAAACCCCTCAAGTAGTTTTTTTTTGAGGATTGGTCCTGGGCACGCTCAATTTCTGGATCCTTACGGAATCTTGCGGGCGTTGATTTTCAGCTCACTCTTGTTGGTGTGGTTGACTAGCAGTGTGCGGATGTAAATCCTAAGACCTGGATCGCCCAATCTGTTTTTGTGCCAATTCATTTAGGACATAGGACAGAGAATGAAATGGAAAGACTGGTAGAGCCGTTGCAATACGCAACTGGTCGCTCATCATGGCGTGAGAAAGCTGTGTGTTCTGGAATTTTATTTAAGGGCTACTGGACCCCTGAACACGCTTTAATTAATTTTCACCTCTAGACTCTAGATGTGGATGGATGTGGTGCCCACCTCAAATTGTTTTTTTCTTTGTGTTTGAGGTGGTGGGTTGTAAGACCTGGAATTTAATTGAGCACCTGGACAGTCCCAATTTATTGCTCAAATTGTATGTGTACCCACCTCAAATATCCTCAAATGACTTTTTTAGGTAATTGAGGGTGGGTGGTAGATGGGGGTGGCCTTAAGGCAGGGCCCATGTTCCCTATCAGGTCAAATGGGTTCCAGGTGACATGTGGTTGCTTGGGTCCTGTTTGGCTTTGGGTCTGACAGCCCAGCTGTTTGAAGCCCGTGAGGAGGGGAAGAAGATCATCGACGAAGTCATGCAGGTGACGGGCGCCCGCTTTCTAAAACTCGCGTAGGGCGCCTTGCACGACGATGGGTCACATGTTTTGGCGATGGGATACCCGTTCTGCGGTAAGAAAATGAGGCTTGCCTAGAAAATGACGTAAAATAACATAGTTGATATCCACTAGGTGATGGGATGTCCGTTTTGGGGGGGGAGTTGGTCCGCCTAAAGCCTGGTCAGCCATGAGGATCAAGGAAATGAATTTTTTGACTCCTGGGCTGGGGACTTGGGATTTTTTGGGTCGAATTTACACTGCTTACTTGTGCTGAAACGTGGCGGTTCCCTAACACATGGTTTGGGAACAATTCGCTCCAAGACACGACTGAAATATGCAGAGGGTGAAGGCAAGGGGAACCCTTTTTCTACTGCCGGGCACCCCACCAGGTTCAATTTGACTATGTGCGCATGTAGCTTGACCTCGTTAGAGCAGTGCCTGCAGAAACAATACCGCGACGCAGACCCGAAGCGCTAGAGCGTGCAGGCAAAGCGTCTGGAGGTGGAGTTCATGAAGTACATTGCCCGGAAACCCAAAACAGGTGAATGTCAAGATGACAACTTACTGAGCACTGAGCACCAGTCATCATCAGTCCATTTCCTGGACCTGGTAGCACTTGAGGCCCCGTGACCCCCGTTTTCGCCGAAAGACGTCCCGCAGCATGTGGTCGTTGTGTTTTGTGTGGGCTGCTCCACTCGCATTGATCGTGTTGCAGCTTAAATTGGGTCTGAGAATCGGACGTTTGATCTTCCTGTACCCAGGACCGCTCAGTGCAGCGGCGGTATGTGCATGCCAGGCCGGAGTTTGGCACCGCGGGGTTTTGTGCTGCGGGTTGGCAGGTGATCCCCCAACAGGTCGTTCTTGAAAGCTGTTCAGATTGTTCAAACACCAAAAGGCAATGCTGGAAAGCGGGTGATTGTTCCATACAAGAAGTGTATACCAGGATGCCGCTAAAGTAGCTACTAGAGTCAGGGGACAGGCCTAGCGGCTTTTCAGAGGCTTGAAGGACATCTAAGGACCAAGTTGAACACTCGTCAAAGCCCGCAACCTTCACTTCGCAAGGCCGGAACTTTCGGGTTAACAGTTGTCCATAGTTGTCCACTCGTTTTTGGCTGTCATGCACCTGCTTCAAGCTTCAGCAAGCTGCAGCTTGCCAGCTGCAGCTATATGGGCAGGTATTTGGAATCCGCCTCGCAGCGGGACAAGCTCATCTTCAAGTGCCGAGAGTCCTACCTGAGTGACCTCAAGGCACCGACGCCAGGTGACGCCGTGTGACGTCTGTTGTGACGCCTCACCCTGGGATTTGGCAAGGAAGAGGCTTTGGTGATGTTGAAAGGCCCAAGTGTTCACTGATTTGATTTCAATCTCACAAATGCAGAATCTGCGAGCACTGCGAGCAACGCTCCGCGACCAAGTCGAGAGACTAACTAAAGATGTTGAACAGAAAATCTTCCCTAGACCTGGAGTCTAGCTCCGTTCTTCTCCCCTGCGCGAAGGAGCATGTAGTGTGGGACCTAGCTTGGAGTGCGTTGTGGCCGGTGTTTGCGCCTGAGGTTCCGCCAGAACCCAGGCTGCGTTGAATGGCTCAACTGCCTTCAGATGACACATTGGTGGCGCTTTAAGAATCCCCAAGACACATTTGTTATGAATTTGCTGCGACTTTTTAAGTGAATGAACTTATGTTGGTCCTGTTTTCAAGCCACTTCACGAACCAGTCAGAGCGTTGGACCATGTTGTGTGAGCGCCCTTTCAGGGACCCTTGCAGCATCCATTCGGAGCCGGTCGAGTGAAGCCTCCTCTTCCAAACCCAGGTTTGTTTTTTTCATGCCTGCGATTTATGAGGGCATGTGAGGTGTTTGTTGATGTCCTTTCCCAAAACTTGCACAGCGCAGACAAGCTTGGATGTTGATCTTCTACCAGTTGGTTGCCAACTGGGTTAGGGAGTGATGGGGAGTGTAAGGTGTGATACAACAATTAAGATTCATTGAGCAGATCCCAAAGAAGGCACATCCACACAACGATCCACACAGCGATCCACATGACGACAAGCAGCTTACAACGCAGCTCCCATCGCAGCTCCCATCCCTTCCTCGGTGGAATCCTCGGTCCGCCTCCGTCCGGACTCCGGTCGTAAGGAGACGCTCCAAGAAGTCCTGAAGGTTTCCACGTGACGGATCCCGGACGTCGGACGTCCACGGGAAGAAGTGGATGGGTCAGAAGCGTCGGTTTGTTGGGCTTTTGGGTGCTTGGTGGCTGAAGCTCAGGGGCACCAAGGAGTGGGATGGTTATATGATATGGTAGACTGTTGGATTCGAGTTCACCCTAAGTTTGCCAAAGCCTGAAGAGGTTTTACATGGTTTTACTGTCCATGTTTTGGGCGGGGGGGTCTTAAGCAAGAGTCTGTGGTGATTCCGTGGGCTTGTACAGGAGCAGTTTGAGAGTATGGTGTTTGGATGGTCATTCTTTGTTGCGCACGGCCTTCTGCCTTTTTTTAGTCAACGAAGATCCGCCTTCGCCCGGGTTTTGAGCATCCTCCAGCTACACCAAACGAGTGCGGGCAGTAACGGATGTTGTTATAATCATGTTGGGAATGGACATGGACATTGACGTTTATAATATATAGTATACTTATAATCAAATACAATCAACAGTTAGAACATATTGGCTCCCACTGGTGAATGCCGGTAGCATTGATATGGCACTCATGCAAAAAGCAGCAAATGCACATTCCCAAGCCAGAAAAAAGACAAACCCACAGCTGCTGTGGAAGCTCTTCAGCACTCTTCCGGTCTTCGCCCAAGCTTCCCGAGCACCAAGGGACTGCACTTGCCCGAGCCGCTTTACCATGGCAGTCACTGGGCTGCGCCCCAGGGGTTCAACTTGGGTCAAGCAGTTTATCCCACGGAATGAGCAGCAAAAAAGAGAATATGATCACTGTGTACTAGATGACCCTGCTATATGACCCACATCTCCTGAGGTAGGATATTTTGGGGATCACTCCCGAGGATTAAATTAGCCACCAAAGAGACCTATTACTGGACGATAGTCTGGACTGTATGTATGTCAAGGACTTTCTGAGAGGGTCCACAGCCAGAGCAGTGTCCAGAGATCATGGTTTCTTTTCTTGGAGGGTGTGATCTTTGCAGCAACATTAGCAACTGGCCAAAAGGACTTGTGTGCATCGGGTTCCTCCTGGATGTTCTGCGATCACAGATGGTTTGAATCCAGCCTGATTGAGCCGTGTCCCAGCGTGTCCCAGCTTGGCACCAGAACTGTCGCGGTGTCTCTTTCGCATCTCAGAGGCATCATCTCACCTGTCGGTCGAACGTCCTTGGTGGAGTTCCTCCACTGGAGTGGTCCTAGCGCAGCCGTCTAAGGCGGCCCAGCGCAGCGAAAAGATTTCCTTCTTGCGACTCCGCAGGATCAAGCAGCTTGGGACCCCAGGGGCTCGTCCTGCAGCTGGGAAGTGCTGGTTGTATCGTCTCACAGAGGATGAGGATGGTTTGCCCGGTCAGATTTTCTCAGGAATCTTGGGAGAGATAAACTTGAACGGCTGAACGGTGATAAGCCTGGCACTGCCGAAAGAACATCAGGTTGGTTTCAGTTTGGATGTTGCCTTCCTTGGAGTGCTGCCACCGGAGCATAGAACCACAATTTTGGAAATCGGGAAACCACATGAACAATCTGCGTGTTTTGAGTTGCGGTGTCGGTCTGGGCGTTCTTGGTCCCAGTGAGGGCCATGTGTTGGATTGTCGAGGGACAGGAGAGGCGAAACTGGATCCAGTTGCCTTCAAATGTGTGGGACACTGGCCGGCCATTGCCAGCTCAGGAGGGGAACCCCAAATGCAGCCAGATAATTGGACTTGCCTCGTTTGATGGTTTCACGTCTCGTGCCACCGGAGTTCATGATAGTCCCAAGAGAAAAACCAAAGTACTCAAACAAAGAAAGTAGCTTAAGTGTGCCATGGTGGAACATTTGTTAGAACTACAATTGCAATCCACTTGGAGGAGGGTAGTTCACGATAGACTACTATATTACTTATATAATATAATATATATATATATGTGTATATATATATTTATATACATTTACACGTCGCACCACGATAACCAGTTCACAGTTCAAAGGGTTTGCTGTATCCCTGAGTGATGATCTTGCACTCCCAATCGATGAGCCCCCCACCGCATTTGTTTTTCTTGGTCACCTTGGATCACTTGAACTTTGCGCCCAAGCCAAGGCGTATCCGGAAAACGAAGCCAACGTGCGGAACCCTGTGGTGACGTGACATGACTTTGTATTTGGTGTCCAAAGTCCGCTGGAGACATTCTCCAAGTGTTTGCGCCGGGTGTTTCTAACACAAGTTCTATACAGTGCAGTCCACTGAGGCCTGGGCAGAAGATCATGGACACCATGGGCACAGATGATAGCCGTGATGCTGGCAAGCTGCAGGACATCCGCACGGACGCCGCCGATGGCCTGAATGGCTAGACGTCTACGCTCGAGACTGGTTTCACTGCTGGCTGGGACTGTTTGTTTGGCATGTTGTTTTTTAGAACGCGGGATTAGGGGTGGTTTGGTTGAATGGTCATGGCCAGGTATTATGAAATTGGAGATGGTCAATGCTAAGCGGCGTGGTCTTCTTATGTATATTCCATGGTTGAGGCTGGAGCTTCCCCTTCAGCATTACTGGGAAAAAGGAGACCTGATCCTTCCTGATCTGCAAATCAATGGCCGCACAGGATTCATGATAGAGTGACACCCCCTCAAGGAAGTAAGCCATGAATCATTCGGCGCTTGGAGGAGCTTAAGGAGTCCATCATTCCAACTCAGCCACACGGCATGTCAAAGTGCGGAACTTCCGTGGCAAGAGGGAGAGCGTGGAAGAGGGATGTTGCGGGCATGATCTGAATCACCAGCACACGGGTGGTTCCAATTTCACCTCGAAATTGGCGCCATCTTGAAATTGGTTCTTGAGTCATGGTTGTTCTCTAGAATGTTGCACGACTATGCGGGGCATTTGGTGGATTCTGTGACATGTGTGTGGTGTATGATATATGTATAGTAGAGGCACGAGCCGTTCGCCACTCTTTGGTCTGGGGTATCCCTGGCTTCAGGTCCAAGACACTGACTCACGTGTGGTCAAAAAGGCACACCGTACGTACGGCATACAGCTGGAACGGCGGAGGTCCACATGCCCCCAATGAAGACGCGCCCCTCAGGAAGGTGTGCAAGACCGTTTCCTTCATGCTTGAAGGTCAAAGCCTCAACCAAATTAATACCGTTTCTCAATGGTGGTTTGTCATCATTTCTTCACCCCGCTCTGAACGTTTTTTTCACATCCTCCTGGCTTCCGGGAGGGTCATTCATCAGATGTCACAAGAAGCCTTCATCACCCGTCAACATGATGTCAGTTTAGGGGAGTCTACCAGGTGATTTGGGGGGAGTCAGGACACCACTCGGCTCCCTCCAAGGACCTTCTCTCTTGGACAGCTTGAGTCCAAAGGCGCTTGAGTCCTCTCGCCGCTCGGGGCGGAGTCGAAGGTTGCTTTCCCCCCCTGCTGGGAAAAACCAGATCTGCTGCTGGGAAACACCAGCTGCGGGGGGTGTGTCCTGCTGGTAGGGTCAGGGAAAGAAGTTTTGAAGAACTTCTTATGACATGGTGACATGGTGGTCACCATTTCCCCGTCCCTGCAGGAGTGCAGACACAAGTCCTCGGAATTTCTCAAACGTCAAGAAATCCCCTGCAGTTTTGGAATCGGAAGCGGGGCCAGCTGAAGTTTCCTACTTATCCAATACCCTGTCAGCCCCTGTCAGTGGTCAATCATCCAAAACGCAGGGGCCCATGTTTTGTGTGCTTGAGCGAGAAGTATGAAGAGCTTATCGACACTTTAGCCACTTAAAGGCCCCTTCTCTCAGTCAAGGGCAAGGTGCGTGTGGTGGTCAACTTATCACCGTTGTAACCGTTGTCGAACAGAGTAGTCATACCATCCCCCTTGTCTCAACCAGTTCCCATCCAATGTGCCTGCTGGTTTTTCCCAAAAAACAATCTGACAATCTGATCAATTCTAACAACCGGTGATTTGCTTCTGTCAATGTGCCTTCGTCTTGCGAGGAGACTGTTCATTTGGGGATGTGAACTGCGGAACATCAAGAGTCATTCAGTCACCATGCTGTGTCAGACGAGGCGTGGTGGTCCGCATGCACGAGAAGCTGCCGGGCAAGACCCGGCTGGGGCACCTGGTTCGTGAACCGGTCGGCCTGATGATTTCTTTTGCGGAAGGTGGGGAGTGCCTGTGCCAAAATGGTTGGACCGCTGGCCAATGAAACACTTGGTGAGTCCTCTTCATGACATGTAGCATGAAGGGGCAGCCTAGGGAAAGGCCAACCAAAGATGTTTGGGAACAGGCCAAGCTGATGAACACCTAAACGGACCTAGTGGGTGGCCCCAAAAGCTTTGGAGACCGTCCCATGTGTCATAGCCGAAGAGGTCTGGCAACCTTTTGAAGACATGACATTCGCCCAAAGGGGGGTCCGATCTCCCTCACGATCTCTCACGATCATTCAGGGAATCCATAGGAATATATAGGAATCCAACTCCCTCCAACGAGACTGACGATCCGAATTCTCGGCCCTCCTTTGTGTGAATGTGTGAAGATGACGATTTCCCATACCCATGACCGATCCCCTTCAACAAGCGAGAAGACTGGCCGAGAAACCCCTCACACAGAGGAGCGAGAATTCGTCAGCCCCCCCTGCCATGACTTTCATGGCTTGTTGACAGATCCCCTTAGGAAGCACATGAGCTTCACCTTCCAGACCTGCGGGGAAGGCGACCGAACGGCTCACGGCGAACGCGCACGAACACGAACATCGGCGAACGCGCACGACTCACACGGCTGTGTCACACGGAACAGAACGCGGAGAAGGGGGAGAATGGGATGGGGTTCAGAAGACATCATGGGATGACTCTTGAGTCTATTTACCCCTCCCCAAGCTCCTTTGGGAGGGGTTAGAAATCAAGAGTTTGCATTGACAGTTTCGGTAACAAACGATGCATTTCCAGCTTGGATCCATGTCAGCGAGTTGTTGTCCACCATCGGATCCCTCAAAAACAATCAAAAACAGTCTATGGCTTGATGTGCGCATTCCCAGCGCGAAGAGCCTCCCTCGCAGTGCAGCTGGCAGGCTTCAATGTCCAAATCTTCCTGAAGACTACCCTGCTGAAGGAGCTTGCAGCTCAGTCGGGTCTGCAACATGACTCAGAATCATCCAACTTTATACTTTTTCTAAGTGGAGACAGGGTGCTCGTGGGCTAAATCTATCATTTGCCACTGTGCATCGCATGTCCAAGCCTGAAAACAACCAACCCGACGGCGAAGCTGCTCCCGGCCCGCGGCTGCTCCCGGCCGGGCCTGGCTGTTCATCCTTCTTCAGATTGTCGATTCCCAACGTTCACGTCCCTTTTTCAGCAAGTCCCACCCATCAAGTACCACCAAAACTTCAGGCAGTGGGGCAAGTGCTTTTTCCTCGCCTCAGCCTCCAACTAATTGGGTGTTCTTCCCTAAGCTTGACTCCCATACCACCACCATCGCTGTTGCAGCCCTCGTCCGGTCACCGCAACGAGTCCGCTTCCCTTCCGCTGGCACGTCTGCGCCGATCGCCCGTCGCAGCTTTCGACCGCGCTCCGCCTCGCCCGAGGTTCGAGATTTCGAGGGAACAGATTGAGGACATGGAGGTTCTTCTTCGACCCTCCCAGCGGGCGGTTTCGGCTTGAACCGGTTCAGTTCGGGTGAAGGGGTTCAGCATGCGAGACGCTACGAGACGCTGCACTGGTTGGAGGCTTTGAGGGGTCCATTGGTGCAAGTCAGTGGTGAGGGCACATGAATCACAGGATGACCATGCAAAATGCATGAGTAGTAGCCACAGGGCACCAGTTTGAGGAGCTTCTGAATTGATATGTCGCCGCTTGCTGGAGTTGTTTGGAAGGCTGTTCCCTACTGTAATTTGTTCCCTTCATAAACCTTTTGCAGTTTGGCATGTGCTAATTCATAACCAATTGAGTTATCAACATTCGATTGGCTTTCAAGAAAGTGGTGACTGTGACCGAAAATTATATAACTCTGCGGATGTAGCGCTCCATGCGCTCCAGATGTGGAACCCAATGCCACTCAAACCCGCCCTTGTATCATATGGTTTTCAATCGTCAAGATCAAGGATTAGCGAGCACAACGCAACTCACCCAAGACTCATATAGCAAGAAGACATCTCCCCCCCTCTTGAAGTGCAGATTGGATGGCTCTTGCTCAAGACTGACTCTGTGGCCAGAACGGCAAGTTATGTGTTCAGAGATCGAAGATGCGAGGTTTGATGGGCTGCGACGGTCCATGACGGTCAGCACATATGCCCAATTTCTACATTACATGACGTTCAAACACCGTGGTCAACTGGTTCATGCCAACATCACTCCAACAAAGCAGTTTGTTGCTGTGAATTGCCAGCAGATGATAGTTCCTGACAGAATTATTTTGCCCAGCACTTTAGCAAGCACGGAAATGCTCGCATGCTCAGCGTGTAGAGCTCCTAGGACTTCCCTGTTGGGAGGCCAGCAACCAGCGATCCTTCCACTCCAGAGTGCTGTGCCTCACCGCGCTTCCACACTGAGAAAATCTGCTTCGCCGGACAGTCGCCATGTTCCATTCCATGAACCAAAGCCGGCATGACTTGAAGGCATCCCGGGCACTGTCCGGGCAGGGGTTGAAGGGGTTTGAGGGTCAAGGGCGATGGGAGAGCATGCAACTGCCATGCACCACTAGCTTTTGTAGGTCCCAACATGGGTTTTTGCCCTTGTGGTTTGTTTTTTGGGACACCAACGTCTAGGTCCAAACACTGTTTCAAGATGTGTCCAGCATGTCTCACTGGCCCACAATCAAACTGTACCGTGAGAAGGACATACGACCCCGACCCCCACCATCTACAGCAGCTGGCTCATTCCAACAGAATGAGAATTGAATTTGTGTTTGGGGGATCACTTTGGTGTCTTTGGCCACCTCATAGCTCGAATTGAGCTACTACCTGCTTGATTCAGCTTGCCTGGAAGAAGGTGCAAGCATGATCTGATTGGCTCGTTTGCTCGATCTATGGCCATAGACCAAAGATGTTGCATTTGGTAATTTGGTCACCTATTTTTTGCGCCAACGTGACCTTCATTCATTTTGCTGTTCAAAAGGCTCCTCCAGTTGATGTGTGGCGTTCATGAGGCAAAGGCAAGTCGTTCACGAGGCAAGCAATGAGAATCCACGGTCCACTTGACCGTTGATGTTGTTCGATCCCCCGTGAATGTTCCAGCAAGCGAAACCACTCATCATTCACGGAAAACAGCTGTTAGCAGCATTCGTTCTTCAAACTGCACGTCTTATCTTGTTTGGAGGAGACTTTCTCCGGTCCACTGCAACGGCCCAGTTGCCCAAGGGTTTGGTCAACCATTCTTTTCACCCTCACCAAATCCCCTTAACAGGCACCCCAAATCCCCCACCCCTTCCCTCCGGCCACCGGACAGGCACGCTTGGACTTTGCACAGCAGAGCTTCGACCATCGGCTTTCGCAGTTGGAATCGGCCCAAGAGCTGCAGCGGCACCAGCTGCACGCGCGCGCCACACGGGCGCTGGAGGAGGCGGAGGAGAGGTACCAGGTGGGGACAGTGGATGGGTCGGGTGAGCCCGGAAGCTCCAGGGCCAACTGGTTTGTCCCAAGCTTTAGCCTCCCCAAAAGGAATCCTCAGCATCCACTGGATATGAGCATGTGCAGACTGCAGACGATTTTGGCAAGCGGCAAGACCTATTATGTTCAATATTCCTGGGATGTTCTGCCGCATCGAGGCATCCCGTCCGTTCCGTTCCGTTTGCAGACCGTGGACCGGAACTTTGGTGACGCATCGCTGGTGAGGCCCACGTGAAGCAGCTGCAGAAGCAGCTGGAGATGGAGAGGAGCTCCAGTTCTGCAGCGTCACTAGCCCGGGAGGGAAGGTCCGGGAGAAGCCGGGAGGACATCGTGTCATGAAAATCCATTTGAATCCATTTGATTCAGGGCAAGCCCCCCCCAAAACAACTGTTCTTGCAGGCTCCTGAGCCAAGGTGCCTGAATCCATCGCCGAATCGCAATCTTTCATTTGCAGGGTGAATTCCCCATTCCTTGTGTTTGATTGGTTCCATTGTTGGCTAGGCTTTCCGCCGGGTGTGACGTTGTTGTCTTGATTTCTTTTCTGTTGTGTTGAGTCGGGAAGTGTATTCATTCTTTTGGTACCGTCCACCACTGGTGTCCCATGCACCTATACAAAATATGCAATAACGTGCTTGTTCTTAAAAGGGGCTACGAAACCATCTCGTTGTGGTATACTATAGCCCCTTCTTTCCAGCCCCCCCCGCGCGCCCCTGAATCGCCTTCTTGAACCCCCAAGGTTTCGTTCTTGAAGTTGAATATTATCCCAAGCCTCGGCGACGTCTCCTAAACGTGGTCATTGAATGTGGGGCATTTTGGCATATCCACACAGCCTAGGGTGCATCTAGCCCGCGTATCCTAGTACTAGCGTAGGTAGGCCCTATTATTCGTATTATACGTAGGCCTTTGGACCAGTTTTGGGTATGGGCCTATGCCTGGGCATGCCTGGGATATGCTGCATTTGAGTAGGCGGTGAACAATTGGTTGATTCAGCACCGTATATTGAACAACATGCGTGTGGAACATAGTATAGTACAGGACCTCCAGGAAAGAAGGCTATGTGACGTTCCTGTTCATTGTTTCTTGGGGGTGTTGGCTGCTTGTTGTTCAAGGCACTACCACATAGAAAAGTTACGGAAGACTCTAAAAGAACTTCGAGAAGAGCTGACCCTCGGATTGCGATGGTTTTGGCCCCGCAGGGCGCTCCGCTTTCAGGGTCTTATGTATACTGCAGAAAAGAGGATAGTTGTTTTCTTGTTTTCCTCCGCAAAGGATAGGTTGTCAGTTTTTGTTTTTTGGGAGGCTAAGTGACGTGTATGTTTTTTGTTCCTTTTGCTTTGCTTTATGGATTGGATCTCACAGTTTGTGTTGGTTTTCTGGTTTATGTTTGAAGCTTGTGAAGTTCGCAGAGCAGCTGGACCTCCAAATGTTCGAGGAACAATTGTTTGAACGAAGACTGCACTGACCGACTGACCGGTGCGGGCTTCATCCGAAACGGCAGAAACGGCATGTATGTTCATCCAATTTCACTCATCAGAGCCATCCAGATCCAATCCTTTCACAAGATGAGAGCCTGAGCGCTGACCAAGACAGCGGAGTGAAGCTTCACCAACGCCAGGGAAGAGAAGAGCCAAGAAGCCTCTGAAGTGGCAGTACTTCGTGAAACCTGCCGCCATCTACGTCGCTCGTGTGTCAAATTGTTGCCTTCCGCTTCTGATTGTGTGCAAGAAGTTCCGGGTTGTGTTGTGTCCATCAAAACCGGGCATCATAAATCAAGAGTCAATGCCTTTCATCCAACCAACCGCACGTCTTTCGCAAAGGCGATAGCCTGCGCGACGAACAGCGGACGTCGCAGCGGGTGCCGGAGCTCCAACGGCAGCCGCTGGGCGGAAGCAGCATTTGTTCCCGCCAGGTGAGGACACAGGACGCAGGAGGGATGCAGGTGGACGCTACATGAGTACATATTATGTAGATGTAGTGGTAGTAGTAGTAGTAGTAGTAGCAGTAGTAGTAGTAGTTGTTGTTGTTCCAGTACTAGTAGTAGTATAAAAAGAGGTAAGTGTATATGATATCCTTCTGAGTTTGCTGAGTAAACGCCGGTGTTTTGACGTAATTAATATAGTTGGCCATTGATTTGAAGGGAGTTGGTGGACTTTGTTCATTTTTCCTCTACATCTTTAACCGTAAAGGATTCTATTACCATTGGCTTGGCCAGAAATCGGCTGGGGGGGAAGGGGAAGCCATCCTTTTTCAGTTGCAGGTTCCTGATTTATATAGCCCCTCTTGGCCTCTTGGCAGACTCCGAAAGACAGTTGCCAGCTTTCAGTGATTCACACGTCTTTGGGGTTGGACTGCAGCCCTTGCAATGACTTACGTTAGGGTAGCCTCCCCAGGCCCCGAATTGTTGTTGCTGTTGCTGTTGCTGTTGCTGTTGCTGTTGCTGTTGCTGTTG